TGAGGAAACTTTACAACAGGCACTCTTATCATGTACGGGAAGTGGATGAACTTTTTTGTTTGTTTGTTTAATGGTGTTTTTCATCTTCCTCGACGCAGAGTAGGTTATATGTTGGCCAACCCAGACTGAGAGGTATAAACCATAACATCCCAGCAGAAAGACCGAGATACTGGATAAAAATTCGCCCCACTCAGGAATCGAACTCCGGTCTCCTGCGTGCGACAGTAAAACACCTAACCGCTATAGCACAGACGTCTGTTGAACTTGTAGAGAGGAAAGAGAAAGACAAAATAATTCAGGAAAATAAATGAGACTATCGACAGAGCTTGGATGTCACTGCATATTCCGCGCAATTTGATATCCAAGCATTTGTTTACAGTTGGCCCATCGGGAAATCCCAAACATTGCGTTCAAACTCCCAATCGGGGCAAAAAATACAAAAAGGTTCGGGGATTCCACGATGTCCCCATCAGTTTTGGCGTGATCCCCGTTTATTTAGCCGAGGGCGACCAGGTTTAATCAGCGTGTGGGTCGTTTCCCTTGCTCCAAAATATTGGATTGCATGTCGTGTTGTAGTCAATGAGCAGTCATCAAAGATAACAGAACCATCAAGTAGTGCTGGGTGGCTAGGTTCCCGATTATTGAAAGCTATGAATCGCAGGAATCGACTCCGAACCCAATTGCTTACTTTCTAATGATGTGATTTCTTCCGGTGGTTACCTGGTTGGCTCCGAACATCTTCAGGATTTTGAATAACCTTGATTTCGGATCACTACGAAACATCAACTTTTATTTTTCAAAAATAAAATCTTTAAAAAAGAAGAAAATTTTAATGATCAAATCAACTGGTTACCGGTGATTTACGTAAAAAAAAGGAGACGGAATTTTTCTTCCGTAGTATTAATCGTGGGCGGAATCGGTTCCGTGATGGATTTTTCGCCCAGCTCAACCATCAAGTATTTCAAGCGTCACGCTGCCAGTATTTTACACCCCTATGGAAACATTTAATATCATTTGGGGAGCGGACAGCTCCTACCCTGTTGATCATGGCCAACCGGGCTGAGTGGAATGCCACGTCTTCTACGATGCTTCGAAAGTTCTGCAGCATGTATTGCCAACACAGTTCGGTCAACAGCGAGCCGATTGTTTGAGTAAAGAAAAGCACATCGACGCTAATGGTCATTTAGTGCTGGTAAAAAGTAAGACAGACAGACAGACAGAAACAACAGAGGGAAAGTAAAGAAGCAGGACCTACCAGTGGCGCCCTCCAACCACCCGCACACAGCATGCGGACAATGGCGTCTAAATCCGAGCTAAGTAGACAGACCTATCACTTAAACCCTGTAACCCTGGGGTCAACTTCTCAGCCTGCTTTCGTAAGCCGACACTTAATGAATTGAAAATGCGTATTAAGAATGTTCTGGCCATTTGCTTGAAGACGAACTCACGCTGTTTTGGTTTGTTTTGTTTGAGTAGGTATTTTACGGCACTATCGACTCAACACTTGTTTTGCCCAGTTTTGAGGCACTTCAAAAAAAAAAAAAAAAAAAAAAAAAAAAAGCAGCAGAACCTCATTGTCCGTGAAGATTTTTCAATTCGGTTTTCTTCACCCGATGGTCTGCTTAAAAAGCCAGGCAACAACGTGACAATGTGTACAATGGAATATGCAAATACGTTTCTAATTTCTGTATAAAGGTTTCTTTGATTGAGTAGCAGTTTTACGGCACTGTCGACTTATCTGTATGATGGTTCGAAAAGAGCAGCGTTGTTGTCTTTGGTCTGCCACTGATCGGAAATAAGTCGCTACATTAGAATTACAAAGTTGTATCTGACATTTTTGGCCGTTCAGAGTTACTAAGATCCTGAGGTCAGAAACCAATAAATGTTCTTTCTGCTCTCTCAAAATCGTAAGATTATTCTGAGTCGATATCAAGATATTCAAAGAGCTGCATTCGAAAAAGCTTGACACATTATTGTAAAACTCAATTTTTAACGTCACATTTCTCAGTCAGCTTAGTATGGGGTTTTACGGCGCTCGCAACTGCATAAGGCACATTTCTCAAAACAAGGTACTGAGCAGATAAAACCTTGTAGTTCCAAGGTAGTGGTATGCCCCTTAAGTCTTTACTACTAGTCCAGCTCACCAAGTCTCAGAATCAAAACCAAAATAAACCGAAACAACAGCCAAACCTCATTATACTCCTAACCTGAGGACAAGCATTAAGTTGGTGGCAGAGCTGGGCTGGCAGTATAACAGGGGTTTTATGCTCAAGTTTTAAAGAGTTAATGAATTTTCTCAACAGGCTTGCCTTCCGGACTTGGAATCTAATCCGCGTTCCTTCACGCGAGTCAATCACTGTCTAAATAGATAAAAGTTTGTGTAAGAAAGGGGGTGGAAAGGAAAAGGCTGGGGAGGGAGGGAGAGAGAGAGA